TCTTTGCAAAATCCCTCTCCCGATACTAACGAAGGATAATCCAAGAGCTACAACCTCGCCAGGCATCCAAGCAGCTGAGAGGGACTTCTCAAGCAACAACCTCTACAACAGCCATTGTCAGGGACAACCATGCCTTGGCATGGAGATCGAGGGACCCAGACGGATACAAGTACAGTTACGTGTGCTGAGGCAGGTTGCCAGACCAATATCGCAGGATTACCGGGATGGGAGAAGACTGTGCAAAAATCCGCTAGATGAAAAGCTGCCGACGCCCTGACGGATTGCCCAGGCTCGTCTTCGTGACAATCCTACAATCTGGAAACCTACGAAGCCGGCCAAGCTTTGTACGAAGCCCCAAATCATCTCGGACATCACAATTCCATCAGCATCGAGTTCATCAAACTAATCTTGGACCCCGTTGCTAAGGAGGAAGGGTTACACCGTCCAGTCACTCACCAACGAGCTGGACCTGTCTATGACCGACGAGTACCAATTATCGGATGAAGCGGGATATGACGCCTCCCCCGAGGATCCACCCAGCAGCCAAGCTAAGGAATCCTTCTCTGCCTACCTTGCACAGATGACTCTGTCAACAACTACTACGGACGAGAAATCACTCTCCGTAGAACAAACACATTTCAGTGTTTTAGAGGGAGGTCCTAATTATAAAGAGCCATTCTCCATAATCTCCTCTCTCTCTAGCGGTTCGGAGGGGCGACCGTCTAACAATTGTAAGTAATTCTTTTATTGAATGAGACGTAAATCAGTTAATTCTTTGATTGCATCCTTGACTTATGTCACACGGTTAAAAAAAATAAAAAATGAGGTTATATTTCATTGTCTGTCATTTTTTTCTCGAGCTCCAAACTATGTCACCAAATGTGGGCTTGATTAGTTATGAAAAAAGGATCAGTACGGTAACAAAAAAAAGAGATATGGAGCAAGAAAATAAGGCGTGCAATAGAATATGCGCACTGATAAGACGTACCACACAACATTAGTTGATTCATTTTCGATAACTACTCCACTAAACAAAAAATACGTTTTTAATAGGTAATTTGACAAAGAATACGATAGTAACATTAAAAACTAGCGTTGACGGTAGGGATATTGTTAAAAATTAATTTCAATTGTTTTGCAATTTTAATCGATTCAAATAAATATTTTAATTGATATAACAGTGTTTTATTCGAATTTCTATAAGTGAAGGGTAAGACTTATAGATTTATCTTACAAACAAATTAATTTCATTTTTGTTCATCAGGAATCAGCCATCGGCCCGAAGGCCTTATTTGCTCTTACTAACAGTATACTTTTCTTTTACATCGTTATCTCAGCGTTGTGGTTTTACGTTTCACCGAATGGTATGTGTGCAGTGGTGTTGGTGTGTCATGCATAAACTGGCATTGACCTACTGTTTGAATTTATATCTTATGTAATGCAGTAGTAACGAATCTTATTCGTCTTTTTATCACACGTCCTTATAAAAGTCTTTATCATACGTTATCTTCTTAAAATTTCCTTGATATTCAATTTATTAATTAAAGTAAAAATTATGTGTCTATCAATGAGAATTCTTAATCTTGGAATATTTCATGTAATTTAGTAACTGAAATATTTTAATAAGGAAAAAAAAATCTAATCAACAACCATGATATGTCTTTTCTGATGATTTAATAATATTACAAAAGCCAGAAATAGTTAATTTTACCAATAATATAAATCATAAAGTTTCAGATTCGCATTTACAATATTTATACAATTTAAAGTTAACTTCACTTACTTCTATGATCGTTAGTTAACCGCTGCTTGCGCGCACGCAGTCGTAAGATCTTTAAAGGTTGACCGCAACGATGATCTTAATCGTACACGAGAGTCTTCGTGGCGATGATAATAATGAGGCTACTGCTTTCAGCGTTGGAACCCAAGTCAACGGTCCTTTCTGTCTTGTTCCTCATTAATTCACTTTTTAGGCAAGTCTACAGTGGCCTGGTTAGCTCGAGCATTTCTAACACAACTTAGTCACCAAACTGAGTCGGACATTTGCTTGAAATTCACGTTTCTAACACGAAGCTCAGTCACCAAATTGTCTTACATTCGCTTAAAAGACGCAATAAAACTCACCCTCCAACCTCTATAGTTACTTTGGAGCACTTGATGAAAGAGAAAAGGCGAATATTGTTAAGTGCAAGGAGTTTTTATAATCTTGTATTCAAGGAGGTCATGTCAGGTTGGGGATCTGAAGGACCCATCAGAGCTTAACCTAATTACTCCTAATAGACACGAGCACAGTCGTGGTGCAATAATTTTACAGTAATTTATGGTTAAAACTGCTGATCTCTTAGATCTTACATTAAGTACAGGTTGCTTTCAAAATTGTGTATGATATTTTTTGTAGAATTCGCAGTAAAGAAAGTTGGAAATGTTGATTATTCACATTCTCGGATGTAATAGTGCAAATTGATGTTGTAAGATGAGGGCTGTATGAGATTGTTCGGAGGTTGCACGCGTAGTTCAAGTTTTGCGGCGATAGTTTGTTTCAAAAGAAGTAAGTTACACGTTACGTGTTTGCAGAAGCAGGTGTACCGCTCGATGTTAAAGATCGCTGAACTTATGCTTTTCTTAATTTTAAAACGAATCTCTGTGTTTCGTAGTGACACATAATAAGTATATGACATGGGATGTCACAACAATACTAATTTATTTATAATTATTTGTAAAACATTTTTTTTATTCAAGTTCATTTTCTACCTTTAAAATAAGAAAAAAATTCTAGCTTGAATTGAACTAGAGTTATCAATTTTTTAAATTAAGTCTCTAAGCCAAAAATCATGAAATCTTTTAATAAATTTAATTCAAAATAAAATAACGACATGCATCCCTTTTTTTTCGATATAGAACATGTAAAAAAAATTCCAGCCGAATCAACGATGTAAAGATCAATTTTTGTCAAAATTCGTCGAGTTTGTTAAAGAATGTTTCATATGTATTTTTAGATCTGTGTACACAAAAACACGCACACACCCACAGACATTATAAATGCTTCCACTTTTCATTTTTTAAGACGCTGTTTTAATCATGCATTTTGGTAGCTAAACCTTTTTACTTCGAGATATCGCTTTTACTGTCTTGAAAAATTTAAAAACTGAAAGTTGTTGTTACCTGACAAGAGATTGTGAGGAAGGAGGCAGTCGTTTATGGTAAGATCTGATTTTCTCACGAGATTCTTGATACAGAACAATCCCAGACAACCTTCTAGCAGTACACACAAATAAAAAAAATTTTTTTAAAAAGTCTGATTCGTATGAACACATGATTTACTGTGCAAGGTACAGTATAAGATATATAGTGAAGAGATCAAAGGCATTGATTATTTACTGTAGATATGATTATATATACTAAAACTTGAGAAATTTTAAATGAATACATAATTGAAGGATAATTTGTAAAATGGCGAAAAAATGAAGTGTTAAACGAACGTTTGTTCATGCAAAACATGTAATATTATTTTTATAAAGCTTATGTCTCGTAGTATTAAGAAACCCTGACACTAGAAGAGAATTTAAATATACCTCTAGCAAAGTATTACTTAACAATTACAAAAAAACAATGACATTAACAAAAAATAATGTAAGAAGTAAGAAATGAAATAAATGTTTAAAAAATTATGAAGTTGTGATCTACTCTTGAGCAAAAGCACATATTATTGATTTATTTTATTGATTAAAATAACGTCCAATAGTGGTACTGTCAAATTTGTATTTATTAAAAAACAAAGCGACGTTTCGGCCGTTTGGACAATGTCCCAGCCCTCATCAGGTACAAAAATCTATGAGTAATGAAAAATTCGTTACAATACAAATTTTGGTAAGTACAATAAACGCAAATTTAGTAAAGTGTAAAATATAACTCTGACTCTTATGGAAGGAATGTGAAATCATGATGTAGTCATAGTTTCAAGCTTAGTTACTTTTATACCCTGCACATACACATATGACATACTATACTATTTGACAGTACCACTATTGGACGTTATTTTAATTATTTACCTTTATTAAGTATCATTGGGCGTTTTATTATATTACCTGATTCATGCAAAAAAAAAAAAAAAAAAAAAAGTAATAGTGAGAAATAATAAAGTCTAGATTTAAGAATATCAGAATATTTATCTTTTTAAATGACAATCGGTTTTCATCGTTCTCTTAACTATTTGTAAAAATTAGACTGTAAAATTCAATTGCATTCCCTTATCATAGCAGCAAATAATTTTCATGAAAAATTCCTCATAATTGGAAAAAAATCTCATCAGTTCAAAAACTTGAAAATATTGTTAAAAAATGCGTATCACAAACTATTAGTTTCAGTTAGTTATAATTTTCAATCCTTTCGAACTGGCATTTGTAATAAAAATGAAAAAAAATATAAGAGTATAAGAACTAATTATTATAGTTATTTAAGTCTGTTTTCAGTCTCAAATTGAAATTGTATTTATTGTTATCATCAGTTTTTATCGCTAATCACTAATTATTCACTAATTTATTTTTTACTAAAAAGTAGAGCATAATTTCTAACAAAACATCTTGATTGAAAATTTCATTAAAACTATGTTTATAAATAAACAGCATTTTAATGCCAAACTTTTTTTTCACAAAAAAGACATAAAAGACACCCTAAACACTTTTAACAGTTTTAATAAATCATTTTTACTTGTGTCTGTTATGTGGTGGAGTATATACATAAATTTATATCTAACTTAACTAATATTTTATTATATCTTATTAATATATATCTTATGAAATCATAAGTCCCATGGAGTATTCTTATTCGATAAAGTGAATTAAATGTGTAATTTTATACTATATTAAATCAAGTGAACAACATTATTCCATGGTATTTTTAGTAAAAAAAATTTATTTAATTTATTATTTTTATCTTTAAAACTGTTCAATTTCATTCAATATTTACAAATGAATTTTTAATAACAATTTAACGGTTCAGAAAGTTTCATACATATGTAGATGTTTACTACTATGAGTTTTTCACATTTTTTGTTCAACATGGTTATTGTAGTGTGAACTATTTTTTCGTTTGTGTGCCCCGCTGCGTGAGGCCCTCAAATCTTTTAAATGTGTAATTTATAAACACCCAATCTTTGTAAATAACTTCTCCATCTTGTGATGTAGGAGCAGATGCTGGAAAGAAAAGTTGTTTATTAGATTAAATCTAGTATATGAAATATTCTTCGATATTATATTACGGAACAATTTAATGGTACACAATTAAATAAAGAAGTTAACAAAGCATCTTAATTATTATTAGATGTACAAATGACTTTTACATCTATATTGACCCGTGTATCAATGCACTTGCATTTTATAAAAAAAAACAAATATTGAAAAAAAAAAAAATATTAGGGCACATTGCTTACAGTGCAATATCTATTTGAGTATGCGTACATCACTTGAGTGATTTTTGATACGGACACTAATCTTCCTTTGCATAAAGAACATTGATCGCATCTACTGCACATAGCCCTTACTGTCATCTTTCTTTACTTATCGAATAAACCCATAACAACTCTTGAAACTTCCCCAGCTAATTCCTAATTTTTACCCCTTGTTACATCCTAATTTTACTGTACCCTATCATTACCAATTAGTTCCATACATAACGTGAGTCATTATGAAGTCTATTTCTGGGTCATCGTGTACTGCAGAATTAGCTGCAAAGCTTGAAAATGAATCTTAGCCTAAAAAATGTTTAAAAAATTTCTTTGAAGTTGATTTTATAATAATTGCACTCCATACTTCATTAGAGCCACATCTTCACTGTGCTAAGACGCATGAGCCTTAGCCTATGAAAGGATCACTATTAATTTGTAATCACTACCTCTTTATAAAAGTCTTAAAAAAGACATATTTTGATAAGCATTAGACACTTGCTGTTAAATGGGGAACATTCATATTTTCTTTTAACTTGGCACAATATTCTTAAGCTCCAATTTCCATATACACACACAGATACACACACGCGCGTGCGCACGCACGCGCAAATAAAAATGTCATATGTTTGCATGAAAACTTTATCCTGATTGAAAACAAAATCAAGCTGCCAAGCTCAATCGCTGGGCCCAATGTAGCTAACCAATATTGGGCCAAGCTTGGCAGTGAAATAGCATGCTGATCAGGGCGTGACATCACCTGACTGCTCCCAAGACATTGTCAATTTTCGTCCAAGCGTGTTTGTAACATGTATAGGTATGCAGCACAAGACGTCGAAAACAGTGTCTGCGCATGCCTCGCAAGAATTTTGCTGAACATACCTATACATATTATAAAGATGTGGGCCTGCATACATGAAGATTGTTGGTGGCTTGGGAGCAGTTAAGCCAAGTCAGGCCAAGTCGTGCCTTTACCAGCGCACCGTTTCACTGCTAAGCTTGAACCAATACTGGGGACTTGGCAGCTAAACTTGGGCTTGACCACTCCTTGATTTTAATTTCCAATCAGAATGTCCATTCACATGCTTAATTACATATTTGCTGTAAAAAAACATGATCTACACAAAAAGTAGTTCAATATCGTTAATACCCGTGCTAGTTACGCAATGATATTAATGGTGCAATATGTATAAAAGAGTTAATGCTTCACAAAAAAATGATCGTACTCAATTCGAGACTTAATTGCTATCAGCTATTTCTTTGTTTCTCTTTTCCTTGAAATTCAGCATCGTTCAACATTCTTAATGATGGCGTCTCAGGTACTTTTACAAGGAGCTCAATTTCGTGACCTTCATCCAAAACACGTCTCCATTCGTGCCTTTGCCAACTGAGCAGCTCTCTTGCCATCACAAGACAGGCGCACTGGTCTCCACACTGTCAAAACTGTTTTTTCAAACAATGAATGTATAGTTGAGCAGATTCTTATGTTGAATTTTTGTGTTATTTCTAAAAACTCGTCTTACGTAAAAATTTGTTTTACTTTCGTCCTTTATTTCTTTAGTTCATGTGTGATTTTGCAGCTTATGAATTTACTTTCTTAACTATTACATTCTTCACTTTATTTTTAGTAGTCATTGAGTATGGATTAAAACCTGTTATTAAGAGTACAGAATCAAGTGTAATCGAGATGTAAGCCAAATAAAAATGCATAAATCAGTTATCAAATGATAAAGAATAATAAATTTTATAAGTGTTATTATAATGATTCGTACTGTTTTTTTTCAATTTGTCTGAAATTTGAGTTTCAATAAATAATTTAGTCTAGTTTTCGTTGATTCTTGGAATGTAAGCTTAACAAAGATAACTAATTTATTTTCACTGGCCCTTGCAGTAGCCAATCTAGCTCTGCTCATGCAGTGCTGCATTATAGATTGTAGAAATACAATTAAAAATCCACCTGATTTAGAGTTTCACTCTTTACCAAGTAAATAGTAGTTTTCCTACGAGTTTGAAAAGTCTTTGTTTGCGAACCGAGAGGTTTGTAACAAGGTTCGTAAAGGAGACTTTTCGAACGAGTATCGGAAAACTGCTTTTTTGCCCGAGGAAGTACCAGCCTCCAAAAACCACCCGAGGGCGGAAAAATGATATTTTTCAATACAGGGAAGATAAACGTTTACAACGGCTAAAGGCGATAGGGCAAAAGTATGCAGACGCTTTTCCTTGAGAACCGAATGAGAACTCTTGAGTATGTGCCTAACATTTTGTGGAAAACAAAAAATCAGATGATTTTCGCAGCCCTAGTTACGATCCAGTTTTTTTTCCTAATTCAATAAAAAAGATATGAGCAAAGCTGTCAACACGTACAAGAAATTTTAACGAACAGAAAGTACTGAAGCAGCTGTTGATAATCTCCCAATAAAAAAAAAACTGTAGAGTCAACCTCATCTCAGAGCACTAAAAAAATGATAAAAGACAAGAAATCAAAAAAACTTGATAAATCCACATAAGGAAGCTTTATTTACGGACTTAGAAATATTTCTATGAAGAATGAACTGATAGATCTAGCAGGTGTCCTTTTTAAAATATTTCAACTACTGTTGAAAATGTTGTCAAGTGCTTTGCCAAACTGTCTTAAGAAACAAATTAGTATTGATGTCTGTCTACTACTCTTCTGAATTAAAATGAAATATGGTCTGACATTTTTAGCTATTGGAGTACTATTTTTAGTGCATAGAACTACAGCCTCAAAAATATTTTTCTGTCCTTGGAGATCTTGGTTAAAAAATGTGAAAGTTTTATTTTTTGGCCATCCAAACAAGCAGTGCAAGCAACTATGCCAACATCATTTCAGTCTTGAGTATAGTAATTGTAGAGATATTATTGACTGCACAAAGTTTAAAGTTGAGCAGCCAGCTACATTGATCAACGTGTGCAGTTTTATTTTCATTAAAAAAAGGATACAGCATCCAAGTACTAATTGAATGTACCCTTGTCTGGATTTATGTTTATAATTAGTAAGTGCCATGTTGGCCACGCCAGTGACTCCTAAATCACTGTGTCATATGGTCTTCTGAAGTTACTGAAGCCTAGTGAACTAGTACTTTTTGACAAGGGGTTCCCTCGAATTAAAATCTTGTTGGACAATTCTGGTAGAAATATTCTTGTTGTTATGCCTCCTTTCGTAGAAAATCATTTTTCATCAGAGGAAGTTGAAGAAACGTATAAAGTGACTAAAGTCCGAATACATATTAAAAAGATAATGAAAAGGATGACAATTTTCCAAATTGTGGATAGGTTCACTATCAAAATTCTTGCTGATGCTGACAACATTATCTTTATGTGTTGTCTTGTAGTAAAGTTGTAAGCACCTATTATTAATAAAAAATGTTTAATAAATATATTGATGATGTATATAAAAAATTTTGGAAATATTAACTAACAATCCATTAACAATTGCGTTTTACTTTACAAACATTTACTGCTAATACTGACAGTTACTTGTTTGTCTTGTTTTTTGATCACATTATCATTAATACCAATCTTCATATGATTACAGTTTTATTCTTTATGAGAAATAAGTTACTACTTTAATCTTTATCTGTGGTTTTTTTTTTTATGTGAATGAAATAATTCTGGCAGTAAGTATTTAATAGAAACATTTTAACTATGGGATAAGCCTTTTAAAAAAAAATCATCTCTGTATACATTCACTAAACAGATTCCTTTGGGAGACTAGAGATACAATTCGAATTCACTTACTCCCCTGTACTACATTAGCATCTGGAACTGGGTGTAATATTTGAGTGAAGATTTTGGATGAATGAAATTGTTGAATAAAAAAACATAAGGTACAATAAACGTTTGACTTTTGTAACGGCAAATATTGGCTTATTTTAACAAGTTGCTGGGCATTTAATCCCTAAAATCTTAATTTTACATCCTTCGTGCACAACCACTCCATCAGGACTAACGCACAACCGTGGCTGGAGTGGTACTTCAAAAACTTCAATACACTTAACATCTTGATTGTATCTTTTTGCATACTTGCAAACTGTTTGTCTTTTATGTATTAACCCATATTTAAAAACTTTGATTTTCCTATTAATAGTATAATTTATACAATTTTGAGCAAGTTCAGTTTAAGTTTTTCTTGTTCTACATTTTATTTTATGTGCCTTTGGACCCTTACTTATTTTTTATTTCCTAACGTCAAGCTATTTTAGACACTTAGTTTGAATAATTTTTTATAATTTTTTCTTCTTTCAAGGCTACGTAAAAATTAAAACAATCTTTTAATTCTGGCTTGATAATTATAACCTTGGACAAGTCAAAGGTGCTACTTACAGACAAACTTACAAAACAATTAGCACAAGCTTCTACATTAATATTCTTACATGTTCTTACAGTATTAAGAATAAGGTCTTTAATAATTGATTGAGCAATCATAAATTCTTCACTTTTATTTTCCACTTTTAATATCTTATGCAACGAGCAATTTATATTTACTACATCAGCTACTTTCAACTTGTAGGCTTCAATATTATTATTAAGAGTGTATTTTTTTTAAAAAACGTCTGACACAACAAGCGGCTTGGCATAAAAATCTTTTCCAAGTTGAGCATCCGTAGGCTTACCCCATTCTTGTTCTATTGATGTCATTGATACACTTCGATTACTATTAACATAATAAATAAGGGAAAAAATGTGTTTACATTTGTGTGGCTCAGCTGTCACACATGAACATAATGCATG